GAGGATCTTGAGGAGGACTATGTGCCAGAGTGCCTAAAGTATGGAACGTATCGCAAGCTGCGCAACATACGCGAGCAAGATGAATTCTTTGTGGAGGACGACTTGGATGATGGGCTGGTGCCAGAATTGGGCGGTAAAGGTAAACGTGGCGAAGGTGAAGGTTCACCTGGCTATGGTTTGCATCGCTCAATCAGCTGCAAAGAGTTTCAGTATCCAAAGTCGCAGAGCTGTTATATGATGAGTGGCGGCGGCAGCTATGAAGGCGGCGGCACCACCTCAATCTTGAAGAAAACCAATGTGCCCAAATCGTATTCGTTCAGTGCGACAACGTCCAAGACGACACCCTTCGATATCATGGACTACGAACTGCCACATGCGGGTGCAACGCGCCGTGACAAACAGGAGGCCTTCCGCAAGTCCGCGGGCTACTACTGCAGCAGCAGCCTTGACGAGAGCACGCTGGCGTACGTGGCTCACGAAGCACCGACGTCACCGCCGCCGCCGCCAGCACCGCAGCCGTGTTGTGCGCGCGAGCATTGCACCAGCGCCAAGTGTTTGCTAGATGAAATCTACCCGTGCTACCCGGCGGCGGCCGGACGCCGCACATGGCGCAGCCGTGGCACGCCCGTGGGCATGTATGGCGCTGGAGCCAGCGGTGGTAGCAACAGGAACCTACACACCGCCTCCACCTCCGCCGATTGGATCGAGGAAAGAGAACGCGGTAGCCATCGTGTGGCAGCGGCATCGCGCTACTCCGTGCACTCGGGACGTGGTCGCGATCACGAGCGTGAACGCCACAGCGATCGCGAGTGCGAGCAGCCACCGCCGCCGCCACCAACGGTCGTTTGTTGCTGTGCCGCCGATGACTATTGCTACCACCGCCAGCAACAGCGCCATATTGCCAGGTCGCGTTCGCGCCTACACTGTCCCGGCCACCATCCGGCAGCCGAGGAGGAAGAACATTCACACTGCCGCGCCGTGGCCTACGACACCGATCTCGATCATTTTATACGCGACGAACGCGAGCGTCTACAGATGCAGGACAAATTTCTCGATGAAGATGAACGCTATCTGTCCAATGCCGGACCAAGCTCACACTACGCCGCGCAATATCGACGTCCAGCACGTAGTAAGTCATTGCTGGAGGTGCAACCGCCAAGCCGCTACGACGACGATACATGCTCAGACTCCACCGAAATGGATTTGGAGGACTTCAATGTCGACTTGGAAAAATACTGGGCCGAATTGGATAAACCACCAAGTCCTGTAGATTTAGATATGCAGCGACGCAATATGCAAAGCAATCTTAAGGCAAAGAATGTAAATGTCGGCTGTTACAACAATGGCCAACCCATCGATATGCACGATCGCGAGCAGGAACGTATGATGATCAAGAAGTCGCTACTTGAGGGCATGCCCTCTCCACCACAGGTGGAGTCGTCGGCGCCAGACGGCTCCGCAATGCACCATGGCGCCCATAACTCCAGTGACTTTCATTTTTTTGAGCAAGCGGGCTCCCCCCTTCACCGCGGCTACAACTATGGCCACAAAGTTTACCCGGTCGCGGATAGCCTACCCTCATATAAATACAATAACTTCTACACCGAACACGAGGTACAGACCAAACAACCCACCACCGGTGGACATCACCCCTCCGCCAGTGGTCACTCTGCACTCAGTCTGATCAACAATATATTCTCCATCTACAAGCCAAATAAGTATTCAGCCCAAAACTGCCAAATGAATGTTGAAGCCAAACCCGAGCCGTGCAAAAAAATGAATGTACCCACAACACGTCGACACCTTGGTTCAGCACCACATCCCGAGTATATGCACTCAATGAAACGACCAATGCTAGTCAGCACCGATCAGCCGCAATTCAAGATTATACCAGAGAAGACGGGTCTGAAAATTACACCGCTATATACTTATGAAGACTATGTCATCGATAAGCCACAATCACGACATAAACTGGATGGCATGGTGCGACCGGTGGTGCCCCCGCACTGATGGTGCTGGACCTTTCCATGGTATGGCGGTTGTTAGAAAGCTTGAAGGAGCTGATGGAAGGGACATAAAACTGGAAAATTATATTCTGAGTGACGCCAGGCTATAAAAAAAGTTGGCAAAGATTGTGCAGCAGTAAAAAGTTTTAGGGTGAAAGGTCACGGTAGCGGCGATGGTGCCTTATTCGTAAAGATATAGCGACAAGAAACTGCGCTTAAATGTGGTGCTGTTTAACGCACAAAACGGGTTTTAACCGCAACATCGACCAAGCCAACCAAAACGACGGTGAAGAAATGTTAGGCATATTGAGCTAAAAATTAGTAATAATCAACCTATACCTTGGTTCAAGCTACTGTGTCGCCACCACCAGCAACACCATAGCCAAGCCATGAACCCCGTCAATGTCATCGTCCTCTTCGATACATCACCAATTTTTGCGCCACTTTTATTTTCCAATATCTTTAATATTTCGATTTCGGTTTAGTCAACTTCATACAGCTCCAAAATAAGTGATACATTGATAGATAGTATTGAATCTCCGACGGGTACTAAAAATCTGTACGAGCCTTGCGTTGTGGGAAAGTAAGTTTATCTAAAGGCAGCAACACCATACCACTGGAAAATAAATATTAGCACGTTGTGATATGTATGTATAATAAATCTATTTATTGTATATATCTTTGGGATGCCATTCATGATACAATGAAGGGAAAAGAAAAAGAAGACAGGAAGTACCAAGCAGCTTAGATGTGTACGCGCGAGTATTTTTGGACGCAGGAGCTGCCCCATAAAATTCGCATCGCATTTTGATCTCCGGACATTAACGTTAATTATTCGAAAGCTTCCAAAAAAAAAAGTAAATTTCTAGCAAATTTAGAAGACTAAAGTTTGGGGGTTTCGGGCTATGTATTCTTATTTCTTCCGTAGATTATAATTTAATTAATATAATTTGATCAATGTTTACTGAGTTATCAAATTGTATCGAGCCGCAGAAATTTGGCTGTCGAAATGTACCGATTGTTATCGAGTTAGGAAAATTTATAGAATTATCGAAATTTATCAAACTACTGAAGTTTTATTTTATACGACATTGATTGGTCAAAATTTAGAGAGCTATCGAAGCTTATCGAATAGTTGTGATGTATCGAAATCTTTCAAATTTTCGATATTTATTGATTTATCCAATTTTTTTTTTTTGTAGTTAACAAACTTTCTCGGTTTATGGAATCGAAGTTTTTGAAATTTTCAAAGAATATCGGGTTATAGAATTACATGAATTTATCGAGTTTTCACTATATACCGAACTGTATCGAGTTAACAGAGTGTATCGAATTATCAAAATTTGTCGATAGATATGGAAATTTATGGAGCTATCAATATTGAGTTATCGATATTTATCGAGGAATGTAAATTTTTGAGTTATCGAAATTTATACAGTTCTGAAAGGTCATAGTTATCTGAATTTATCGGTAGTTATCGAAATTTTTAGAGTTATCGAATTTTATCGACTTATCGCAAGTTCTTGTTTTCAAAAATAGTTTGCCACGTATTTAAAAATCTTTATTCACTTACTATACGGGTAGCTTTAGGAAAGTTTACTGCCGAAAATAATTTTGAGGAGGGCTGTGCTCCCTGTTTGAAAAATTTTATTCAATTACAATACGGATATTAAACCAAAGAGGTTAAAGAAACTTTACTGTCGAAAATATTTTTGAAACGGGCTGCCTCCTATTTGAAAAATTTAATAATTTAGTACACCTTTGAAGAAAATGTTTTATATGTAGACTCGAGTTATAAGATTATAAATTAAATTCAAAAAATAAAGTTTGTACGTTACATGCTTTCTAAATACCTTTGAAAGTTTATTAACTAACAACCACATTTATAAAAAATAATGAATGCTTTGAAAATCTGCTATCATAAAGCTCTTTAAATATTTTTTGTATTTTTATGAATGAGGCCATAAGAGTTTTAGGAGGAAAAAACAACTCAAAAATATTGTTAGGGCACAGTGAAGCACGTCGGCTATATGCTAGTGGCAAACAAAGCGCTCGCTATACCCACATTGTACTGCAGCGCATAACATATCGAATCTGTTTATTGAGTTTAGCATACACTGAGGGAAATAATGCATAGTAAAAATGAATATATTATATTTGATTATCGTTTAAAAATTTTCGAATTTAAAAATAATATTTTCATACAAAATTTATTACGCACGTACATATTTGACTGTTCACATCTGAGTATATATATGAGTGTACATATGCACCCCAAGCATGCAGAGCGCCGCTCTGAGAGCGGTGACAACACACACATTCATACATCGTACATGTTTATCCGTACAAATCGCGTGCTGTGGTGTTGATGGATATTCATCATTTGAAAGCAAATTTATATGCCTGGGTGTAGCTGAGTGCGCAAAGATGCTTGCCACAAGTTGTTGATATCCGGAGATGGTCGGATTCGAATTCCACTGCAGGCAACATGCAAATAAATTTTTTTTTATTTTAGTTTTTGTCTTGATTATTCACTTCACGGATGCTTTTTCAGTACGAACGCGGTCATTTTAATATGCGCGTAATTGAATTGAATGTTTCCCAATATACAGTACTTTCGTTGACGTTTATAGTAAGATCAATTACGTTTCTATTTGATTTTAATATTTTTTTCCCTCAGTGTACAAGCGATTATCCGACGCAGCGCTTGACGGAGCATGACAGCGAAGTCTGATGAATTCTTATTTCGCGCTATGTGACATTTTCAAAGAGAAATTGGGGCATATTTATAGTCGAGACAAAAACGACTATAAACAGTGTTGCCACACTGGGCTTATCCTACCAAAACTGGTCGATTTTTTTCCATTTGGTATGTTGGTAGGCTATATGGGATTTTGGTAGGTTTCGTGACAATGAGTAATAGTTATTTGCGATAAATAGAAAATATGTATCTCCAAAAATTTTAGCAACCCTGGTTACACGAATATTTCACCTGCGCAGTCGTATAATGGCGACGGCAAACATGCATATATACCTGATTCGTAATACGGTGTTCGCATGAAGCGATTTTACAGGTAACTTATAGTTGAAAGCAAAAATCGCCTGATGTGAACGGCCTTTCAACTAATCGCTTCCAATGCAGGTGGAGTGCAGCCAAATTTTGATTCAACTAATCGCCTCTAAAATTGATTGCAATAGATCTTCTGAGGTCGCATAAGTCTGTAAAGTAAAATGAATTGTTATACGCAGTTAATTGGTTTTTATTGTATTAGTTGTGTCTTAGTTTTACCAAATGATTAGTTATCTACATTTTTAACAACCTTGACATTGAACAAAAATATTAAAAACCAAAAAAAAAAATGTTTGGTAGGTTTTGGTAGATTTTGGTAGGAAAAAAATTTGTCTGTTGCAACACTGATTATAAAGTTAGTAGTTGATTCTGGCAGATTCTGGCGCTCTATGCGGAGTATAATTACACCTCTGCTTCATATGCGCTGCTTGTCTATGCCCTGCATTTGCAATGTACATACATAAGTATAACCAGCGCTTAAAACACAAATTATTCAAGCGCTGAGAAAATATTCAAGCAAATTCGCAAGCTCTTAATACTTCCGAACTAATTATGTTACATACATATTTTTGATTAGAATAAACCACCTAGACAAAATTTGGCTTCAAAAGCCTTAAAAAGTTAAGTTTCTAGGACATATATTTTCTTTAAAAACTTTTTTTGAAAAAAGTCAAGTTTGCATTAGATTTTATTACATTATGTTTTCATGTTAGATTTTTTACACCACGAACCCCGAAATTTTGGTCTTTCTGTCAAAAAAAAAATAAATAAAACCTTCGATAATGCGCTCAAAGTTCTCTCAACTAATCAAAACAACAAGAAAAAAGCAATTCTAGAAGGAAAACAAATAAAATAAAACAATAATTAAACATGGGTAAACAATCATAAAATATACACAAAAATATATTTACACACAACTATACAAACATATTTAGAGAGAATCATCTAAGAAAACCAAAAGTCATATCCAAAAATTCCTACTTAGTGAAAATAGATGCGTATGCATATGTATGTATGTATTAGTGAATAGACAAAAATACAAAAAAAAATTATGCAACTAATAGAAAAAACACATATGTAACGGATGACAAAAATGAAAACTCAACAAAAAATATGTATGAAGTAAGTGCATTTGTAGTAAACGCTGCAACGGTAGAAGGCAGACCATGAAATGAACTTAGCTCGGAGTTTATAAACACTTTTTGCAGAAGCAAACAAATATTTAATGAAGCTAAAATATTTAAAAAAATAAATATCAATTTTTTTCCGATACATACAAATATATATGACATTTATAAACTTTTCTATTTTTTATACCAAAAATGACAACAACAATTTGATAATGTTATTTTTTTGGAGACTTGCATACATAACCTAACACATTTTCCAATTACAATCTAATACAATTTCGAACAAATAGTATATTGAGTAAGTATGTACCTACATATGTACAAATATGTGCATTGGATATGGCAAAAGTTTGTCGAAGCAACGAAAGCATCGTGAAAGTGAATGAAATTATAGAGCATACGAAATAAAACTTGACTGCTGAAATTGAATGAAAAGCTTCTAAGAAAACAAAAAAAAAAAAAAAAAAAGCTTTTGTGAAAGCTTCAATGTGCGCGTGAAAGCTGCACAACACGCTGATATACATACATACGTATGTGTGTGTGTGATTTTGGCAAGCGCACGTATGTATGTAGTAAGCAGCAGATGCTCTAAACCAATTAAACAGTATGCTAAAATGATACAACTATAAAAAAGTGAAGATGATAGCTTTTCGTAAAACAAAAGAAAATTAAAAACTAGCAGAAGATGTGCAGAAAACGATATGATAGTTAAGTTAAAATTGAAATAGGCGGAATTTGCAGCACTTAGAACTCTTAGCACAGCTGAATGTTAAATGTTAAAGAAATTCATGAATTAATTCATTAAAAAAAAAAAGATAAGGATACATTGTGAAAATTGTAGAAAAACATAAATTAATTTCCAAAGAAGTATTAGAAAAATAATACTTACTTAAGAGAAAAATTTAATTGAAAACCTTATCTTAGTAAATTAGTTTAAGAAATCAGAAGAATATCTTACGGCTAAAGCGCCCTTTTAGCATATAAGTATATATGTAATTAAGAAGCAGAAGAAGAAAACTCAAAATATTGATAACAAAAAAAAACGCATTTTAGCAAATCTTATTGCGAAATCTTATTGCTGACATTGAACGAAATATTAGAAACCAAAAACAAAAAGAACTTAGTACTTAGTATTCGCTTTTTTATAGTGTATCCACGGGCCTTATTTTTCAGCAAGCAAAAACAAAGAAAAACACAACATGTAAAACGATTAAGCAAAATGCTAAGCGAGGCCAAATTGAAAAATGGCAGAAAACGATGTAAATTAATCGCGAAAATTTTTAACCTTTGTAGAGTGCGAACTGAGTGTTAATTACTAACTAATTGAAAATTATTCTAGAAGAGCACGCAAATGAATTTATTTACCATACAAATTTATTCCTTTTTTCTTGCAAATTTATAGAGTCAGAAACTGCATTAATCTCTTAATATTTATTTTTTTTTCAATCACTAAAGAAGATCTTCTTTTCTACTTTATTACACGCACTTCGTGTAAAAATTTGGTAAGGCAATGCATTTTACGGGAAAACTATTTTAACTTTTCTAATTTTTTGGTCAAATCACTTTCTAGTTTGTGGTGTAGGTCTTGACTTGGGCATACAATAGAAATGGTACTGGCGCCTCCATATGATTTTGTTTTCGAAGAATTTTTTGAACA